AAGCCAGAAGGAAAGAGACCACAGGGAAGACCAAGGCGTAAGTGGGTGAACAATATTAGAATGGATCTTAGAGATGGGATGGTATAGATGGGATTTATCTGGCTCAGGATAGGGACCAGTGGAGGGCTCTTGTGAACACGGTAATGAACCTTCGGGTTCCATAAAATCCTGGGAAATTCTTGAGTAGCTGCAGAATTGGCGGCTCCGCCAGAAGGGCTCAGCTCCATGAGTAAGTAAGTAAGTTGTATAATTTCTGAGTGCCATGACTCCTTAGTCCGCGGCATTCATCGAAACTTAAACGTGAAACTGTAATGTACTTTAGAATTTAACTTGCAGCTGGATAAGATATTTTCAGCTCTGAAACTGATCCCACACACTTTCAGTCGGAAGCTCAAATTCAAACAGCCATTAGCTCAGAAATATTGCCCTTCCTAATTCTCTCTGTGTGTACGTTATTTTAGAACTAGACTCAGAATTATTTACGTGAAGTATTCGCAGTTTTTTTTTCCACATTCCTCAGCACGTGCATTTTTAAATTCCTCAATAAATTCTTTCTTCTTAAGATTAATATCCTTTATAAACTCAAGATTTCTAAGTTCAGATTTTATGTCTATTTCAATAAAGAACACGATTGACTTCATCAGAAACTCCTTTTGTTTCCTCTACCCCTCTGATTATAAATTATAATTAACATCTGAATTCAGTTGCACGCCAACTGAACAGGTGTTGGTTTGTTGTTCAAGGATATAATTATGAGAATAAAGGAAAATCTCGTTTTCCTGAAAGTATGGAAGAAATGACACGAGCAACACAAAGTACTCATGCAACAAATATTTGATGTGTTATCGCTTTTAACGGATTTTTATAAGTGCGCAATTAGTGTTTTAGAGTTTGCAGGATATTCATGATTCCAAAATCAGGTTTCTCTGATGATGTAGAACCTCTGTATTTCATGACAACATGGCGTAATGTGGTCATTTGTTGACTTCTTCGTGAAAACAAACAACGTTTACGTTTCAAGACCTGTTTCTCAATATCAAGGTGTTCTGGAACTTTTCATCTTATCCTAGGTCTTCCAGCGTCCCGTCGTCCCTGATGTTGATATTGAAAAGCTGGTCTGTGTAAGCGACTTCTGCGCTTTCTTTCCTGGTGGACTAGCCATCTCTTCAGATATACTTCTATGTCTTCTGTTAGGTCGTTCAGTTTTAAGCTTTTGCGAATGTTGACAGAAGACAGAATTTCACAGCGCATTATTTACATAAAATGAACGTTCAAAAACAACAACCCTCTATGTATTTAATTTTTATAAAATAGGTAACTTTTCGAGAATGTCCCGACAATTAATCTTTGTAAATAGAATTATTTTGACATGTAGATCCATTGCCAAGTAACAACTGTGTAAACAGGCGACTGTACAACAGCTAGGGAACAGCTCTGTGGAAACGTTCTTTCTCCGGCGACGAGACAACACACAGTAATGGAAAAAAAAAAAACGTTTTCTGTGCCGTCCATGCCGGGGCTATATATCGAGGACTGATACTTCAGTGTGTGTGTTGCCGAAGGGGGCCGTCCGCTGTTAGAAACCGTTACCAAGCACCGGAAAGTGAAGACTGAAAAGACTTTATGTGTGCTGTAGTTACAGTAATATTTAGAGTGTGTAAATCAGTGAGATGATAGTAGTTATTTGTAGTTCCGAGATGTTTAAATGTGATTCCCAATCCAAACGCCTTCTATCACGTGGCAACTGGTATCAGAAGTGGGTTACTGCACTGCTGGACCTAATAATGATAATGATAATAATAATGTTTCGTCAAGAATATCCCAATCTTCTTTTCTCAATCTATTTTAATGTGTAACAAGTTTTGGATGGACATCAATTCTGAACGGCAGTGTTTATTTATCAGTTCTTTGAAAACCGATATTCATCTCTATAAATTCATTTCCTACGTCATAAAAAACACACAGCAAATCCGTTACAAAGGCATTCGGTTAATGTTGTTTGGGAAAATAATCCATGTTTATTTCGAGAAACGTAAGAAACGCGTAACTACGCTTTGTGAACAAAATGGAGAATCCTTGAATGCTGAAGCTGGCGGCACTCACAGTAACAGCGGGCCTTCAATGGATCAATACCACGCATTATAGCTTCTTATTTTAAATATTTGTAATTTCAAGTTCAATAACCCGTATTTCGGTATTTCAGTGTCTTACATAAACTGGGATTCGGATATAGCCTTAAAGATTTTCAGAAGAACAAGGAAAAGAAAAAAAAATTGGGGTGGCGTTACGTATTCCGCTAAATGAAGAACTCAAGTGTGAACGCGTATACCCAGCAGTTGTTTGCAGCCACTTCGTGTAAACGCGACTTCGATACCCGTGACGGCAGATGATGTATGGTTTCAAGTTTGCGTTTCACTTGTTTTGGGGAGGGGGGGAGGAGGAGGAGGGATAAGGGTATTACTTGATGGTTAGCAACATGGCGCGCACTAAAAGGTATCACAGCGACCACACTTCACGTGGAGCACTTCATTAATCATGGAAACTGTGTGAATCGCTTTGAGACTCACGCTTAAGTTACCAACACAATCGATTCTCAGGAAACGGTACACGGGAGAAGGAGGTGCACAGCCCTGGGGTATTTTAAGATCCTCGACCGGCAACTCGATAAAGGGGCTCGGCAATTCAGAACCTGACGTGTCTGGCAGACAGAGTTCAGTTGCACTCGAGGCTGTATACAAATAGCACCCTTATTCGTATGATACAAAGTGATACTGGGACTTTCGTGTTCGATGCTGATATTGAGGGCGAGGACTTCTGAGACAACCAAAATTATATGCAGCTCTCTATCTATGGCTCTACAGCCCTTCGTTGAACCTTGGCCGTTTTTCAGTCCCTTTGTCTTTTTATATAGATGGTAGCATTCCTTGGACGGGGGATCAGCCCGTCGTAAGCCCGCTACCTGCACGCTGGACAACACGAACACAGAATGAACGCACACATTCATTCATGCCTCAAGTTGGATTCGAACCTTAGATCCCGGTGTTCGAGCGGGCTAAGACGGTTCATGCCCAAGACCGCGCGGCCACTGTGATCGGCTTACATGCAGCTAGACAGTTCAGATTCTAAGCTTGCTTACTGAAATTGTGTTGGACTGAGTTTGCTTGCGCTCTGGATGGTCTGCCTTGAATGATACGTCAGTCATGCACGTGAATAACACGTTACATGCTCCAATCTAAAAGGATCTCTTGCTGATGAAAAGTAACTGAAGTTACCTTCTTCTATGGGCGTACGTAACAGAATATGCGTTTCTTTTTCTTCTGTCAGTCCATCTATATGCACATGTATTGCAGGTAAGGGTATAATACCTGTGGTTCTGTATAGGTTTGAAACCTGGTATCTGACATTAAGGGAGGAACATAGACTGAGGGTGTTTGAGAACAGGGCGTTGAGGAGAATATTTGGACCGAGGAGAGATGAAGTGACAGGAGGTTGGAGAAAACTGTATAATGTGGAGCTTCATAACTTGTACTCTTCTCCAAGTATAATTAGAATGATCAAGTCAAGGAGGGTGTGATGGACGGGACATGCAGCATGAATGGGGGAAAGGAGGAATGCATATAGGATATTGGTGGGAAAGCCGGATGGAAGGAGAGCACTGGGAAGACGAAGATGTAGGTGGGCGGACAATATTAAAATGGATCTTAGACAGCTAGAAAGCGGCCTCCGTAGTCTAGAGGTAACGTTCCCACCTCATGACTCATGGTACGCGAGTTCAAACCCGGCGGAGGTCGTCGAATTTTTAAGGGCGTAAAAATTCAGGGAACAAGTCCTCCGGGAGGGACTTTAAGCCGTGGGTCCCGTGTCGTAGCTTTACGGCACGTAAAAGAACCTCATATCTCCAAAGGAGGTCACTGAGCTAAATTCAAGGACATTTCCCGCCAAACTGTAGTCTCTACATTATAGATCCCGCCAAGCCAGTAGAGGCCGAACTCGCTGGTTCGGTCGGGACTGATGGTACGTACCAATATCGTTAGGGTATAGACACTGGTAGAATATCATAGAGGGAAGCACAATGGACCAATACTGGTCTCAGTGCATGGGGAAACCCACCCTCTCCAATAACTAACTAACTAGAGAGACAGGACGGGATGGATTGCATTGAACTGACTAAGGATGGGGATGGTAATGAACCTTCGGATTCCATAAAATGCTGGGGAGTTCTTGTGTAGGTGCACAATTGGCCGCTCCTCAAGAAGGGCTCAGATCCATGAATAAGTGAGTGAAGGCTATGATACAGAGATAAAAATCGGAACAGTATCTATATGTGCGGACAGTTGGAAGGTGAATGTGACTTTGTATGATCTCAGTATTAAAGTATAAACGGAGAGACAGACGCCACCACACTAAATGTATCTCCTCCTTCAAGAAGTGAGGAATGTTTGCCGAGATAAGGTTCGGCCACACAGAGCGCTACGCTATGTTCGCTACGTACGCTACGTACGCTACGTACGCTGTGTACGCTCTGCGACGCAGCTAACATAGGGAACATAGCGTACGTAGCGTACGGAAGTCTGTGTGGCCAGTAACATAGGCAATAAAGGGAGATATTTTTCTGTTCGTATAGCGAACATAGCGTACGTAGCGTGCGTCGCGTACGTAGCGCTCTGTGTGGACGAACCTATAGGGAACTGTATGAATGACGAATGACTCCATACGAACTTTCAGAAAGCGTTTATAGAGTACTTCATTTTGTTTTACTGCTTTAGCATTCAAACTCAGAAACAAGCCTGACACGCTTCGCTGTTTTAGCGCATATTCACTCCTGTTGCTGTGTGGCGTTAATGAAGCATTTTGGATGCAAATAAAATCTAATTTATCAGTATTTATTTTAGGGTATTACAGTAAAGAGTACAGAGCATTCTTAATTACATGTGGTTCCTAACTATGTTCTCTTGCTCCAGTAATTTTTAATGAAACCTGTGGCATGTGTGTCATTGCAGGTGGCTATCAAAGATTATCAGCATGACCGAGGTAAAAACGGAGTATGTGGTAAGGAACCTGCAAACAGAGAAAGAGAGAGGCCCTCACATCTTGGCAAGGCTTGCTCGCCTCAACATCTTGTGTCTCTATGAAACAGTGCAGGTAATTGAAAGACATGCAGGTTAGCCTTTCTGTCTCTTCATTCTTTCCTTTCATTTATTCCTTCTCTCTGTCTTCTTCTTTTTTCCTGTCTCTCATTTTATTAATCCGTCCATTGTTTCTTCATTTTTTACTTCATATATTTCTTGGTTTCATTCCCACTTTCTCAAATCCTTTATTTCCACTTTTCTTCGTTTTATCTCTCTTACCTTCATATCCCCTCCCTCTCTTTCTCTTTCGTTTCTGATTCATCATTCATAACACCAAATCAGATCGCATTTGATACTCCATAACCTCTGCAGTTGATATAGTGTCATACAGTAACAGAAGAAATAAACAAAGCATTATACGCATAAAAAGAGAACTGCACTTGAAAGGCATCGAATGCATGTTCCAAACGGGGCCCACATAGATATATAGTGTAACAATTACGAAAGACGAGCCTGTTAATACTTCCAAAAACTGATCATAATTTATTATCCATTTAATTAATTCTTTTGCATTAAAACTTAAAGCCTGAACCCGGTTGATACCAAAACCGGCCCTTGTACACATACATTCTCCCGTGCCGGTTCCAAATATCTCCCGTTCTCGCATTTCCCTGAGATGTATCATAATATCCTTCCGCCTCGTTCTTATTCTTCCACATAGGTAGACATACTCGTACTACTTTCAGCGATATTTCCAAACAAAATTTCCGTATGTATTTGTCTTCACATGCTAACTGCATGTCCAGTCCATTACAACCTCCTTCAATTCACTTCCCTTCAAGTTTCTTCTATTACTTACTTACTCATGGAGCTGAGCCTTTCTTGAAGAGGAGCCAAATCTGCAGCTACTTAAGAATTTCCCAGCATTTTATGTAACCTGAAGGTTCATTACCGTGTTCACAAGAGCCATCCACTGGTCCCTATCCTGAGCCAGATCAATCCAATCCATCCCATCCCATCCCATCCTATCTCTCTAAGATCCATTTTAATATTTTCCACCCACCTACGCCTTGGTCTTCCCAGTGGTCTCATTCCTTCTGGCTTTCCCACCAATAACCTATATGAATTCCTCTTCTCCTAATTCGTGCTACATGCCATTTCCACCCCCTGTTCTATTAGTTTATCACAATTCTCCCTTCACTACTCCATGCCCCTGTCCACAGTTATCATAAAAATTGTCCTCTGCATCTGTCCGTCCATTGGACCATACAGTATGTCCCTTGGCATAACTGGCTCTGATTAAAAGTGAATTTAATTTGATGCTTTCTCCCGTGTTTAACAACGTACGAGTATAAACGCCTTCACGAGGAGCGCATGCGCCGCCTCAGGAAGTGAATTGTAACTGCTGTCAGGGCTATTGGAGCTCGTGGAATGATAACATTGATATTTTGCTGTGCATTTTAACGGCGCCCTACTTTTGGTCGCTGTTGCAGCAAACCGAAAATATCGACCCCTCACTTTATCCTTCGGTTATTTTTAAATGTATATAATTCTTAATTTAAGTTACTTTGAATTTTGCTTTTGTAGAAAAATATTATCCGAAAGGGAGTGTCTTGTTTAGATAACTTGGCTCGTTTAAAGGGAAGTCGTTTTAAATTTGGAATCTGGGAATTCAGAAGGCAGATAAATAGAGAAAGAAATTGTAAATAAATTTGACAAAAGGAGAAAGAATTTACACATCTCTTACACTCTTTGCGCCACTCACATAAAGCGTATATTAGAAATGCGTATTTCTTACTTTGTTCAGTGCTGTACCCTACTGGGAATTTCTCGTACAGGGAATTTGAAAGTTGCCACCCAGCGTGTCGTTTATTTCTACACAGAAAGCGCTTTTCTGCTGTTTTTGATTAGGGCGCGGTTAAGATTTTAGGGTCATCGTATGTTTAAAACTTCGGCATTTCAGAGGAATTCTCTGTCTTGGACTTTAGGAAACTTATTGAGTTACACAGACGATGAGACCGTCTGTCGGCCATTTGTATCACTCCTTACATCGTTCTGTGATGACGTACACAGTCATCACTGAAGAGCTCCGTGATACAAGTCGCTCATAAATGCAAAGTTTGACTCAGCCATGAAATTCCACACCATTTATATCCATAAGATCCCTCGACTGGGAACCTGTTATCTAATATTTACTTTAATGTTACTCTTACAATACAGTCAAATCTTCCAAGTGATTTTTCCGGCTAAAACGTTTAATTGATCTCATCTCTCCTGTATGCATTATCCTATATACTCCACTCACTGTATCCTCCAAAATTAGATCATCCTGTATAATAACTGATAAAAATATTGTATACATTATCTGCTTAGTTAATATCTCCTTTATGTCGAGATCCTTTAATAAACACTGCTGTACATTTCCCTACACTCCAGGTTTTCTGTCATATTGTGATTGCGAAGCACTATGCTAGAAGCCGGAAGGTCGCGGGTTAGAGTCCCAATGAGGTGGATTTTTTCAGTTTACCTAATCCTTCCAGCCTCACTACGGTCCTGGCGTTGACACGACCTCTAACAGAAATGAGTACCATGAATCTTCCTGGGGGGTAAAAGGCGGCCGGCATGTAAGGCTGACATGCTTACCGCCATCTTTGAGCCGGCTGTTTAGAGAAAATGCTGTAGCGTCGACGTCTCACAATCCTATGTGCCTCCACGGCCTGTTACAGAGATAGCTTTACCTTCTTTTGTGATTTTGAAAATTTTACGTTAACTATTGGTGTGACTGCCTCCGGGAACGTGTATGATCCTTTCTATACTGCAGGTCCAGATTTTTTACTCTTTTCCCTTTTCAATTCTGCAAGTAACATTGCCTTTTAGAACCCTTTTTAGAGAAGTTAATTGGAAGTCTCATGTTCATTCTTTCCACGTGCCATGGATTTGCTTCCTGGAACTGCCTAGCGCGCAATAATTCGCTCGTGATCAGGCGCGCCTGCTGTGCCTATTCGATGATGATCATTATGCATTACTGAAATGTCTTCTTAGAAATCACAGCGTCGTGCTATTCAGCAGTAACAGCTCCGTAGATTACTTGAAATTACTGTGATTCCCGGTGGAACCTTTTCTCAGATGCATTGAAAAATAACATAATTTCGTAATAAACTGTAGAATTAGAAGAATGTTAGATAATCCTTTTTAAATTCAAGCCCCAAAAGATACTAAAACCCATTTGTAGAATTAAGGGTTCTACATGTTGTTGTGATTATTTACACTGCTGAAGTATATAGACTAATTTAAGGAATTACTGTATTTCCTCACGCGGTAGCGTAGTTGGTTGAGGGGCTATGCTACAAGCCGGAAGGTCGCGGGTTCAAGTCCCGATGAGGTCAATGGATTTTTCCAGTTGACCTAATCCTTTCAGCCGCACTAGGCCCTGGGGTTTACTAAGCCTCTAACAGAAATGAGTACCCGGAATTAATTAAATAATTTTCCTGGGGAGTAAAGCGCGGGCGGCGCGTAAGGCTGACAACCTTACCGCCATCTTTGAGCCGATTGTCTAGATAGTGTGGGAACCTCAACTTCTCACAACCCTATGGGCCTCCACGGCCTGATACAGGGCAGCTTTACTTTTTTTTTTTACTGTATTTCCTCATAGCTGAAAAGTGTGTACAATCAAGTTGCCGGATTTCTTTCTTAGTTTTGCGTGGTGTCTACATTCAGGCGACGGAACAGTAATTTCTTCTCTTCAGCGGCAACTTGTAAACATGTTTTGTACCTTCTGGTACCACAAAATGCTGAACATTTGTTGATTGGCCATCACGATGGAGTTACTTAGATGTTAAAGATGACAGGTAAAGTTGTCTCTATTGTTATTTAATTAAGCACCACGCCATGAAGGCGTATGAGGGAGTGGATTGTACTAGTTGGAGGTGAGTGGTCAGCTTCACGCCCCGGCCTCTTTACCTCCGGTACCCAATGGATAGAAAGCTGGATGGCACACAGGGCCGGCCTGGACGACGTTGACCTTACCGGGACTCGAACTCCAAACCCTCGGTCGTCCAGACCGTAGCCAGTCGCTATACCGACTACACTATCCCTGCTGTTAGTTAGATGTTATTTTTACAAATACCGACCAGTAAATTTAAGGGCTGAAGCGTCTGAAGTTCAGGTTACATCCATTTTCAGTTTTGGGATGTGGAGGAGCTGGTTGTGCTGCGTCTCGAGTTCTGATGCACGCTGTAGTGGGCGCACCGCGTCGGCTCTGGCGCCTCGGCGGCGTGCTTATACTGCGCTCTTCCTTCCTTTTCCTATAAGATCGTAATTTATTTTATTCCCCCTCCCACTGAAGTAAGGGAGTTGAGGGAAGAGAGGGCACAACCTCTGTTCTCTTATGTGTGAGAGCAGGGTATGGACCGGGGAGTAGGCAATCTGTAATCATTTGTTTTCTCTGCGGCTGCTATGTATGCACGCCCGCAGTCATACTCTGCAGCAGGAGAAATTGTGTTGTTAGATACACTGGCATATAATACAGTTGTGTCTACATTAACAGGACCCGAATCTTTTCAAAATAAAGGAATAAGTCAAGGGGTAGGAAGAGAAGAACTTCCCTCACCTGTTTTGTAACAAAAGTTTAGAGTGGTGACGGCCCCTCAAATACTGAAGCAAAACTTTGCCCAAAAGAAAATAATAAAACAAAAATTAGGTAAAAATAAAATGGTTTATGTGGCCGTGCAACAAATCATAACGACTTTAAAGTTCCATATATTTTCATCCTCGGCCCTAGATAAAGGCGCGCGATCAGTTTCACGTTCCGGTCGTTTTGTACTTTATTCCCATTGGATAAAAGGCACAAAATTTATAATAAACGCAAACACAATCTTGAAATATTAACGCTAATAATGATCAGCATCATAATTTCATCTTCTGAGGTATAACATCGTGCAGTCCGGTAAGTGTTTACCTCTGTTTCCGAGGAACGTAGCATTCCTATACACAAGGGTTATTTTACCATGAAGAAAGGGGCAGTGAATTTCTACGAAATGTTGGTATCCACCTATCAGACTACATGATACAATA